GTATGGTCTCAATGATCGAATACTTGAATTAAGAAAAGAAAGTCTTCCGCCAAATACAGATATAAGGATTTAACCTGTGCATCCTGTCCTACTTACTGGAAAGCACGCAAGTTGGCCAATATAAAGCTGATCTATGAAAACGGTTTGATCGTCGAATCTTAATTTCTGCTATCTTCTATTCATATGAATGAACTCGAGTTTTCTTAAAGCATTTTCGAAAAAAAAATGTAATTTCATTCGAAAACAATATGAAAATTTTCTCGGGTAAAAAAATGATATCAACTATTGTAAGACTGGTTCATATTGTATTGAACTCTGTATGCTAGATTTTCATAGAGATATTCTATAAACAATGTATGTATTATCAATAAAAAAATTTCAATCATTCTATTTTTCTTTTTTTTATTCTTACGAAAGCTAATTTTCATTATTTTAACAACATAAGACATCTGAATGTAGCTGATGATAAAGAAGACCGCTGTTTGTGGTGAACAAAGCCAACAACAGAAAGAGCTGATTCAGGACGGATGACGTAGCTGGACTAATACTATAACGCTTTAGAAAAAGGAAAAATTCCTAGCAGCACTCTATCAACATTATGCTTGCCAGAAATATATTTGAATAGAAATATCAATCTTCTTAAACATTTAATCTATGCAAAAAATGATTTTTTTAATTTTCTATAATGGCTACTAGAGTCCTGGGGAAACAAATTTTTCCCGTATATTCCTGGGAAGATTTCGAGACGGGAACACGGAAGCGGGAACGATAAAAAAATATCCATTCTTGGAAACCTGCTTGTCCTATTTCTATATGCGCTAAAGTGTGTTTGTGTAACAAACTTTTATTTTCAATAAGGATTTTCGTATATAATAACCAAAAGAAAGCAAATATTTATCGACAAAGTTTTGAAAATGCATTCGTTTTTCACTATATCTTACATTATGACAACAATCAGCTTCTTTGTATTCATCATCGAAAACACGATTATCAAGGTTATCTTACAAAACATTAAAATCATCTTTTTCTTATGAAATTTTTGCTTTTCTCATTGGTGTCATCAGTGTGCAACTATTTATTCTTTTTCTTAATTACTCAGTTGATTGTGGAAATAGTTCTCTTGAGGCTGATAAATTTCAATTTCTAAATAATAGCTGATTTATTTTACTTCTGTGCAAACGTGCATGACGACTTCTTGTTGTATATCCACTGCTCAAAAAAGGGTGCTTTTAAAATATTAATTGCCGAAATACATAGCATTCGTTGAGCTATTGCAGACAGTATAGAGTTAGCTATTTACTATTGTTTCAATATATAGAAACATTCACACCTTTTCCGACTTTTATCTGATCCCAACGTATCCTGTGAATTCAGTCTTTATTTCTTTTATCAGCGTATAACTTATCTAATGGTATTAGAAAGCATCTACACCCTTAGAATATGAATCAAAAAACATTGCAGATTGATATTATCGACAATAAATAACTTCAATTTCGGTGTAGCCTACCATAACCTATGTCACATTTTGAAAATTGTAATGCTGTGAGAAACTAATATCAGACAACGATAGTTTTTTAAAATATAAAAAAGTGAAATACCACTCGGGTTTCTGAACACCTTATGGGAACGGGAAGTGGGATCGAGAACAAACATTTTTCTTACGAGAACGGAAACAAACATTTTTTTTACGGGAACGAGAACAAACAATCTCACGGGAACGGGAACTCAAAAAAGTTGTTCCTGCAGGACTGTAATGGCCACATAAAAAAAAGGAAACAAACTATCTGTAATATGGTTTCCATAATAAATATGAATAAGACGTTGTCTATTGAGCAAATTGCTGAAGAAGTTTTAGAGCGTTATGAAATTTATATTAAAAAAATATACATTGCTTAAAAGAAAACAGAATTCTGTTATTTTTATTATAGCACGCCTATTGAAAAAATAGTGAACAAATGCGTTTGAAAAATTAACTATCGTTCATTTTCTTTTCAAGGTGCCTTTGATAAAAACTAAAAAAAGTACCTGAAGTGAAACTCTCTCGATGTATGCATGAGAGAGAGGCGGAAATAGAGAGAGAAAAATAATGAGCAATTTTGTTGATCTTATAAATACTTGCATGGTACAACTTCTCATATAAAGAGCAGAAATGATAGTTGATATGCGATCCATTGCAATCATGAAAGAAAATGGCGATAAAATAAAAGAAAATACACTATAAATAAAAGAAATTTTTGTTTTCTCTTTACATAAAGCCACATAATAAATACTATGATAACCGTTTGAACTGGCTTACTTCAGTTTCATTGTGCATTATTCTTAAAAAATTGTATAGAGAAGTGTTTAACCAGATCCCCTAATTTTTTTACTTAGGGTATACCAAAAGTTCTGATCACAGTTTTTAAAATTTAATAAAGCAATAAATATTGAATATTTTACTAAGGCAATATATAGTATAACGTCTCGTCTTTAATAATATATAGAGCAACTCTCTCTTAGACTTAGTTCTAACATCCTTTCAGTCTAAAACTATAGTATTTATAGCCAAGAAAAGATCATGCCAACATAAAACCACAATACAGAAACGAAGAGACATTCGTTATTTTATTTTATTAAATGCTCAAAATAATCACCATTATTTTCGATACAAAGTTTCATTCTTTCTAACAGTTTATCGAAAGTCTTTTTAAACTCGTTTATTGGAATATTCTTCACTATGGTGGAAACCTCTTGAGCTAATGATTCTTCGTTTGTGTGATCCGTCAACTTGTTCTTGATATAATCATTTAGCCAAAAGTCACACGGTGCGAGATCTGGTGAATACGGTGGATGTGGAATGATTTCGATTCCTTCCTCCATTAAATAATCAATAACATCTGGATGAGTATGAGGAGGACCATTATCATGAAGCATTTTATATGTAGTACGTGATGACTTTTCCTTTTTTCTTATTTCATTGATAACAGGTATAAGACAATTGTCAATATAGTAGTCATGATCGATTGTCTTGCCCTTATCTACTTTGTGTATGAGAAGAGAACCAGTGGATTTGAAGAAGAAGCAAAATAGTGTTCTAGGTTCAAATCTATTCCGACGAATAATGGTTCTTGGTAGTTCATTTTCGCCAACCCAAGTAGCATTGCTTGACTTTCGACCAATCTGCCTGTGATAAATCCATGTCTCATCACCAGTAATAACATCACATAAATGCCATGTTCCATTTCTAAATTTCTCTAAATTTTGACGACAAATTCTAAGTCGTTTTTGTTTTTGTTCGTCAGTAAGTTGATGAGCAACCCAACGTGATGTAACTTTTCTCATCTTTAGACGATCATGAATAATTCGTTCTATTGTACCACGTGATAGATCAGTCTCACCCATAATATCATCATAAGTTGAGTGTGGATCATCTTCGATAACTTGTCGAACGCGTTCAACATTTTCATCTGTAAGTACCGAAATCGGACGACCAGATCGAGGATCATCAGTGACATCGTCTCTTCCTTCATGAAAACGTTTCGCCCATCTTCTGACTGTTGGATATGATGGAGCATCAGGTCCCAATGCCTCTGTAAGTTCGTCAAAGATTGTTTTTGAATCTATTCCCAAAATAGCTCGAATTTTGATATAATATCGATTGAATTCATCAGTCATGTTTAATGTCTTCTTTTAAGATTGAAATCAAATTCTATTACGATTTTAAGTCGAGTACGGTACAAATGAACTAACAGCGAACGACCTCTCATTTATATATACTATCGAAATGTAATATTCTAGAACATGACGTCATAAAACGTGACGAGAGAGTGACCAATAGAAAGTTCCAGAATGTACCTGACCATTGAACAAGAATTAATAATATTTGCATTGTCTGTAAAATTATAGATTTAGTCTGAAAGGATGTTAGAACTAAGTCTAAGAGAGAGTTGCTCTATATATTATTAAAGACGAGACGTTATACTATATATTGCCTTAGTAAAATATTCAATATTTATTGCTTTATTAAATTTTAAAAACTGTGATCAGAACTTTTGGTATACCCTAAGTAAAGTTGTTTGTAATAAATACTGCATCATGCAGTTCAGATTTATTCTAATGAAGTTATCAAGTAGGTGATTTTGAAAAAATAACAGATGCCCACACTTTGTATGAGGAGCAAGGAAGCAAAAGTCAAGAAAAAAAAATTAGTAGTATATTTGAATAGTTTCTTGTTCATATTCAAGTTGCCACTTGTGGGAGTCTGTTGAGATGGTTAAGTAAGTCGTTCTCTATTAGCGTGATAACAATTATGAGCATAGAGCATTTTCCTCTTATAAAAGGTCTCTAAAGTTTAGATCTCCTTATCAAAATTATTGAACATTATTGATTTTCAAAGCACTGGCTTTATTTTCTCATATTCATCTGTACGTTTTTTTATTCGAAACATAAGTACTACATTTCATGAAAAGCACTATCGAAA